AAAAAAATAGAAAGTAAAAATTGGAATCACAGATACAGGACAACTTTTCCACCATAAATTTAGTTTTTAGTTGATTTTAGTTGAGTAGAAACAAAGTTTCACAAAATCTCAAGTTTAATGAAAATGGCTTCACATTTTAAGTTTTACTTTAGGACTATTTTTGTCTTCAAATTTACCTTTTCATCCTAAAGATTTTTTATTCATAGTTTTGTTTAATTTGTTTAAAATTACTTGCTTAAAAATACCTTGTTTTGAATTTCAAATGAAACAATAAATTTTTCATTAAAAAAAATAACAACAGCAAATCAAAATAAATGCAACTCTGCTAGAAAAATAAAACTTCCCTGAACATGAAGTACATGTAAAAGTTGGTTAAAAAATAAAATGTTTTCACATACAAAAGTATTGTTTTCCTATTAATGATATTAACTTTTATGAGTATATTAACATTATAATAAAAATTAATAATTATTATAATAAAATAAAATAAAATTAAAAAGTTGTTTGCAACAAAAATAGATTAAAATAACTTATTAAAAAATATAAGTATATGGTGTGTATAACTTTTTACCATTTTTTTGAAAAAAATTAGACCATTAGGTAAAATTTAACAAAAGTGGAGCTATTTCAGACATTTTGCTACATGATATTAAAGCTGCTTTTTCCCAAAATCAGGCAGGTTCTTATTCTTAGTGATAAAATAGTCAAAGAGATCAATAGAATAACTGACTACATTTTTCTCTTCTTGTCATTATAGCTTTTGATCTTTTAAAGTCAAACTCATAAGTCTTAATAATTTAGTCTTGTTATTAAAAAACAATATTATATTGTTATGTACTGTATGTCACAAAAGTCACAACTAAATTGTTTAAAAACAACGATTTGTAAAAAAGTTTAAAGAAAAAACAAAAAAATAACTCTCAATCAATTTCATTTTTTCCGCTGACCAACTTTTCTTAAAATCATTAGAAATATAATATAAATGAAATCAATAGAAATACCACAATGATTTTATTTTGTCAAAGTTAAATGTAATAATTTTTTAGCATTGTAATTTCAAAACTTGTTTTATCTACATTGCATTATTTTTAACTTACACTTTTAAGATTAATGAGGCCATTGGCGGATTTGCCATTATACTAAATATAATGCCCTGCTACAGAGGTGAAATTTAAATCATGGTAAAATCATGCGAGATTTTTGTATTCCTTAACCGTGGTGGTGGCATTAGCATCTTCTTTTAGCAGTTTTAGAAAAGATGAAAGTTTTTATTCAGCCATAAGAGACGCCCAAAAAGATGTAAGAATGGATTGAATCAAAACTGAAATCATTCTGACAGCAGTTGTTTGTTAATAAAGACCAAACAATAGGTCTTGAATTGTATATTTTACAAGACTCATAGTTAACTTTTGATATTCTTGATCATAGTTTAAAATGATGCACACAGATATGACTTCCTCAGTCTTTTTGGACACAATGAATTTCAAACCTTATAAAATCTTTCAAAGTTGTTAACAACTCATCAAAACTCACAGTAAAATTGTAAGTTCATTTACCATAGTTTAAGAAATTTATTTCTTAAATCAAGAAATATATTTCTTGTTTTTAGAAATAAATTGCAGAGCTGATTATTTCTTAAAATGAGAAACGTATTTCTTGTTTTAAGAAAAATATTTCTTTATAAGAAATTTTGCTGTGCTTGCAGTAAATTTATTTATAAAGATAATGTAGAGCATAGAGAATCTTTAAAACCTACTCCAAATAAAGAATTCTTGCACCATTAACCATTAAAAAAGAAGATTAGATACAAGGACCGTGCTAAGGTGACTGCTCCTTCACTATTAGCTATGATATCAAAGAAGGTGACAATCAATGAATCATGAGACCTGTGGTTTGATGCCTGCTCTAGCCATTTTTGAAACATGAAGTATATGTGAATACCCTAGTTAAATGCTTCCACGGTGCTCTGTGATAAGGGTCTTCTTGAGAAAAAAATGGTCTAAAAAAATATATACAAAAAAATGTTTATTTACCTTTACGGAAATATTCCATGGAATTCCATGGATATTCCATGGAAAACCCATGGAACTCTATGAGTAAACCATGCTTTTCCCATGAAAAATCAAATTCCATGGAATCTTAATAGGTGAATTTCAATGAAAATTGAAATCCATGGAATTTCCATGGAATTTCTATGGAATCCATGGAATTTCCATTGAAATTCCATGGAATAGTTGTTGTTTTTTTCATAGCTCATGTCGCACCGTGGGTTTTTAAAGATGCCATCGCATCTTTAAAAACCCATGGTGCGACGATGGTTTAAAAACCCAAATGTGCTTTTAAAGATGCCATCGCAACTCGTAGAGTAACAATCATTTGTAACATGAGTAAGTAATATTTTTTTGAACTCTTCTGTTTTTCTGTATTTAAAAAGACTATAAACTATATATTTTTTATAATGCACCACATTTAATATGATTCAAACTAAACATACAGACATAAACAACTAGACATATTTGCAATAGCTAGAATATGATAAATGTATGCATTTTATAATGCATCATAATATGATATTATCAGAAAAGTTGGTCTCAAGACTTAAATCTTGGTTCTGAGACGTGTCGAGACTCGTTTAACTGTCTTGGTCTTAGTCTTGGTATTGAATCAAAATGTCTTGGTCTTAGTCTTGGTCTTGGCCTTTACTGTCTTTACGCTTTTAGATATTATCATACTATGATGCATCATAAAATGCATATATTTATTTATCATTTATATATTTAATTATATACTATTTATGCATATACTTATTCTAGCTATTGCCAATAGCTTTGCTTACTTGCAATAGTATAGCAAGTATGTCAAGTGAATCAGTTTGATTTTTAATGTTTGTTTGGTTTACTATAAATATTTTATTTTTAATGTACATTAGATAACTAGTGTATTAAATAAGCTCAGATAAGCCGTGTATCATATAAGATTATCCAATATACTGCTTAGATAAGCTTAGATAAGCAGTGTATTGGATAAGATTAGATAACTAATCTATTAGATAACTAATACTATCTTTATTAATTTTTTTTTTAATTTAGTTTGCATAAAAATGTTTGAAGTTAAAACACTTTATTGTATGGTAAATGTTTATTAAGTATCAAAAAACTTTATTTTATGATAAATGTTTTATTCAATTTTAGTTCTGTTAAGTTATTTGTGTCTTTTTGTTGATAAAACCATTTAAGTTGAGATTTAGTTAGCAACTAGATCTAGTTAAGATATTTATTATGTTTTTTCTTTACTATTAAATAGCAGAATTATTAGAATATGTAAATAATGTAATAGTTTGTGTTTAAATTCTTTTATATTTACATTATTATTTTATTTAAATTATTACATTATAAGGCAACAGGTTTGACTGGCGATATAAATAATGTTGTTCATCATTTACATCATTTATAACATTGTCAGTTTTTATATGCATTTAATATTTTTTTTAATAGTTCAAAAGCTGCTAATTAAAATGGTGAACTGAGTTCGAATTAACCAGAAAAGATATAAGGGTAATCTTTAAGATTTAACTTGTAATAATGCTCCAAGAATAATTTAGTTAGAGAAGGAAAACTATGGTAATGTTTTGAAAATATCAAAAAGGGAAGTTAATTAATGAACAAGATTTTACTTCATAGTTAAATATAAGTATATAAAAGCAATGTTTATAAATAATACACTATTATTAATTATAATACAATTATTTTTATTTGTTTATATTTAACTAATGTGAAGTGCTCGCCTTAAGCAAAAATAAATTAATTTATGCACACACTTAAATATTTATTATGATTTTACATTACTGTACTTAATAAATTACATATTTATCATATTATTATTATGTTTTAAATAGTAAAGTAAAAATATAAACTTTTGAATTTAATAGTATGTGCATAAGACCTTTTATTTTAACTTTATCATTTTATCTGAAACTATAAGCAGGCAAGTTTGACTGGTGATAAAATATTTTATATCTTTCAGATAGATTCGACGAAGTAAGCTTTTTTAAAATTACGATTTATAAGTAATAATATATTTGTTGCTGACTTGTTCTATATAAATGTTACTAACATACAGGTAACATTTATATATGTAAATAAATCTTTTCATTTTAACTTTATCATTTTATATAAATTACTACATTATCAGCAGAAAGGTTTGACTAACAATATAAATGATGTTGTACATCATGCAGATAGCTCAGACCAAAAAATAAGTTTTTTTTTAATTAAAATTAATAATTAATACTATATTTGCTGCTACCTTGTTCTATATAAAAGTTACTAACATGCAAGTAACATTTATATATGCATTAGTTTGTTCTATATAAATGTTACTGACATGCAGGTAACATTTATATATGTATTAGTTAGTGCATAAATCTTTATATTTTAACTTTTAACATTTTATCTAAATTACATTATAGGCAGGAATGTTTGACTGGGAATATAAATGTTTTACGTCATGCAGATAGCTTGGGCGAAAAAAAAGGTAATAATCTTATAATTATTATTTATAAATAATGATATATTGATTGCTCCTTTTTTCTATATAAATGTTTGCCAACATTTATATAGAACATTCAAAAAACTGTGTGTTGATGCGTAATTATAAAGTAAGCTATAATAGATAATAATTGTAAGTATAAATAAATTAGTAAATAAAGAAAATTAGTATGTATATATTAATTGTATGATGTATTGTCTAGATTGGTGAAATGGACAATAATACTAACTGTGATAAAAACAATAATGAATATCAAAATGTGAATGGTAATTTATTTGACGATTAACTGGATCTGCAATTACAGTTAACAGTGCAATCACACTTATAAATGGCAGTGCAATCACACTTATAAATGCACTTATTACAGTTGGCAATCACACTTATAAATTTTTTTGGATTAAATATGTTATAATAAATTTTTTTTTTTAAATTTGTTTAAGCTTGAATATATTAAGTATCAAATTTGTATATACTATTTTCATCAAATAGTTAATATAAAATAATAAACATGTAAATTGTTATACTTTATGTAAAAATTGTTTTCTTAATCTATTTCAATTGTTTATTACTGTATCACTGTATCACTTAAAGTATAATATTACTTGTAATTTTTTGTTTTATATATTTTCAGTATGCATATGTATAAGCATACATATGTATAAACATACATATGCATGTGTTAAATATTGTGGTAAAGTCAAATTTTAATGTTTTAGGTGCATTATAGCTATTATTTTTCAAAGATTTGTAGAATTCAACAAGATTTAAGATAAAGCGATCTCATAGATTAAAAACAACTCATAATATTAGCGAGTTGCGTGATAAAATTTACTCTTTATGGTTTAATATGAAAATTGAATGAACATTAGATCAAAAAAACTTGAAAAAAAACATGCTATTTTACCATGGAAATTCCATGAATTTTCCTTGGAAAGATGTTCCAAATACCCAAGGAAACTCCATGGTTTTTGCATGGATGAAAAATCCATGGAATTTCCATGGGTATTTGGAACACTTTTTCATGAAAATGCCATAAATTTTCCATAAAAATATCATGGATTTTCCATGAAAAACCTATAGTATTTACATGGTTTGATCCAAGGCTCCAACAACAGTATCTGTTTTTATGAATATCATTTCATACAAAAAAAAAAAATGTTTGCAGCGTGAATTGAAATGACCTTCAAAGATCTACAAAAAATTACTTTACAATAATCTAAGTGTTAGTTTATCTGCCACAATCAGTAAAAACAAAGAACATATATTTTTTAAATTGAAAAACACAATGTTTTTTTGGTACAGGAACACAGAAAGAAAATATCATTGAAAAAATTAACTACTTTTGACATCAGAATCTATTTGCATCAATCTTTGGAAATATATCCATACTTAGTTAAAAATTGCAAAAAGGTGTATTTTCAAATAATCGACACTTTCTAACAAGAAAAAATTAAAAAAAAAAAGTTTTCATATAAATATGACCTCTAGGCCACTTATCAGCCACTCCGCATAAATATCAGTAGTGGAAAAAAAATTATCATACATACATACATACATACATACATACATACATACATACATACATACATACATACATACATACATACATACATACATACATACATACATACATACATACATACATACATACATACATACATACATACATAAATACATACATAAATGCATGCATACACAAAATATTTTACACTTATATATTATAAACTTAATTTTGCCAATCTAGATCAGCACTGTCCTAATATATTTTGCGCACTTTTTGAAATCCCAGCTTAAATTCAGACAGTTTTTTCAGAAAATAAAAGAAAATACAAAGAGTTATGAAAAGCTACCATAGTTTTAATATCTTGAGTCATTGGAAATCTTAATGTAACTTTTCATGTTATAGAATAAAAGAAAAAAACTGACAAGCTAAAATAAGTTACAATGTTCAGAACTTAGAAATCTAAGGTCTAGAAATTATTTAAAATTTCAGAATCTAAAGGTCTCTTACTTTCATAATCAAAATCAATTTAAATTTAAATTAGAAGCATTGAATCAAATATTGTTTTATAAACCTGGTAACAAAAAAATTTTTGTTTTTTAAATTTATTTTTTTTCCATTTTACTGATTTAATTTTACAAGAAATCAAATCAGTATATTAAAAAAAAATTGAAAAAAAAATGTTTTTTTAAATGTTAAATTGTTAAATGTGGCAAAAAAACTTTTTTTGTTTTGCAGAATTTTAAATAATTTTCACAGATAGACCAAGGTACATTAATTTTTCTCTATTTGTTTTGATTCTCTATAACCGTTGCTTAATCCTTATGTGCTTATATCTTATATTTTTATATCTATATAACTTATGTTTACTTTGTATGCTTCATAATTCTGCTTCATTATTCTTATGTGAATTACACTGTTTCTTTCTACAAGTCATGGTTTTTCTACAAGTCATGGTAGTTTTATTTATCTAAAAACTTTGCTTTTTAATTTAAATATTCAATTTAATTATTTAATGTTTAAAATTCAATCAATTCAATAACTCAAATAAATATTTATATGAAATAAGCAAATACTAATTCAAATAAAAATTAAAAACAAATTTAAAAAAAAACCTGTAGCAACAACTTCTGCACTTCGAACTTTTATTTTTTCAACTAAAGAAAAATTTGAAAAAAAAATTATTACTAAATAAATCAATATCAAAAAAAAAAAAAAAAAGTTAAAATTGAAATAAAGAAAATTAAAAATATCAAAATAAAAATATATAGTATATATATATATATATATATATATATATATATATATATATATATACATATATATATATATATATATATATATATATATATATATATATATATATATATATATATATATATATATATATATATATATATATATATATATACATATATATATATATATATATTAAAATTATCAAAATATATATATATTTATATATATATATTTATATATATATATATATATATATATATATATATATATATATATATATATATATATATATATATATATATATACATATTTTATATATATATATATATATATAAATTTGTTTTAGAAAACTACTTTTAAGTAATTAAAATTAAATTAAAAAAAAGTTCTTAAGAACTTTTAGAATAGAAAGAATTTACAAATTTTCTTAAACAAAACAATTTTTTGAACACTTCAGTTAATACAGCAAACATAACTTTGGTAACACAGCTTACTAACTTCTCGAATTCAAAATCTCCAATTCTTCACTTAACTAATGACTATAACTATAAATTTTTGTATTGTGTTATTCTTGAGCAAAAAAAACCCAAAAAAAGACAAACTCATCAGAATGCAGAAATCAGAAGTTAGATAATAAAGTAGACAACTAGCTAGTGAAGTAGGCAATTAGACAGTAAAAAAGGTAACTAGGTAGTGAAATACACAGCTGGGTAGTGAATTATAAGCTCAGTATGAACTCAAATAGGTAGTGAAGTATGCAGCTAGGTAGTGAAATGAAAGCTAGATAGTGAAGTACACAACTAGGTAGTGAAGTGGAAGCTAGGTAGCAAAGTAGGCCATCATTTTAATATTCTTATAATATTTATATTATAATATTATACATAATTTACATTACAATATTCTTATAATATTCTTTTTTTTTAAATTATGTCAAAAAATTACTTACTAAAGTATTTCACTTCAAGATATTTGAAAGTTCCAACACATGGATCACCAAACACTGCACTAGTTGCTTGAACAGTACAGAAAGATTTAGATGAGCATCTGCTCTGAACAATATCTAGTGACCTTTTCTGATTGTTACAATTTGTGTTTGAATCGTTAGGACCAGGACAAACACTTAAAGAAGTTCTACCATAGTTAGCTTCTAATATATTAATTATTCCCTTGCCTCTAATATCAATTGTAAGATCACTTCCTTCGCATGCGTGCACAATGTTAGGTGTTCCTGTTGCCAAAATAGTTAATATTATAACATTAATCAAACAAGATAAAATTTAACTTTACTTAAGAATAAAACCAAACAAATTTGAACTAATGTAACAGAAATAATTTCAATGCAATCTCACTTAAGAAACAAAAGTTAATAAATTCTGTAAATAGATAAACAAAAAAATATTTAAGTTTCTAAAAAACAAGAATTGTTTTATTTTAAAAATTTATTAATTTTACAAAAAATTAGTCAAAGTTTATTGCTTTGCTGGGTTTTTTTCTATTCATATCTTCTTTTTTTTTTCTTTTTCTTCCTATTTATTTTTTCTATTAAGTTTTTCTATTAAAAAAAGATTTAACTAACAAATAGTATTGTGCCATGTTTTTTTTTTTATAAACCATTCAAATGTATTTTTTAAGTGGGTTGATAAAGTCTAAGATTGCCTATGCATAGAAAAACTTTTATAATTAGGGGTTACTCTGAATGATATAAATCTACAATTATGAATAACTATAAATAAATATTCATACTTATTTTTATATAAATCACAAATAGGAATATTTATTTATTCGTACTTTTGAGTTTTATTGTTATTTTTAGACATTTAGTTATGATATTAGTTGGTTATCAAAAAGTCTTATTGCTTAACTTAAGCAATATATATAAGACTTTTCTTATAATAAAAACAAAATGGTAATTCTTCAGCTAAGCAGCATATATTAAAATTATTTATTTTCTTTTTTGCGCTTGTTGCAAATACATCTGAACAAGAGTTGATATATCTCTAATAAGTATATCTGATGTGACGTACTCTTCCAGATTTTAAAAACGCTTATTTGAGGGTCAGGATCAGGGTTAGGGTTTAGGAATATTATCAAGTTATAATAATCTGTTTCTTGTCTTAAATCAATATGGACCAGCCATGACCTAAAATCTGACCCTAATCTTGACCCTCATCACCCTAGATCTTGTCCTCGCTTGATCTATTTTTTTTATTTATTGAAGGGTGCGTTGTTTCAGATGTAACTGTGACAAGCGCAAAAAAAGCTAAAAAAATAATTTTATTTATGCCGCTTAACTGAAGGATTATCAACAAAATTGCTGAAAATTTAAAAATATTTATAAATTTAAAAATAAGCATACTTTGAATAAAGACTAAAAAATCAATTTTGCGATTTCTTTAATTGTGCTAAATGTCAAAATGTCACGAGACCCAAGCATATATGAATTTTTGTGAAGCTAGACAAATGAGTGATTTGTGTATTTGTTATTTGCTAGTCATAATTATATATGTACTTATGTATATATTTTAAAATATATTATTTGTTACTTTTTTGTTTTTACTATTTATTGCATTTATTATTTCATTATTTATCATTTATTTATTTTTTCCAGCTAATACCACAACATATCATTCAGATACCACAAACAACATAATGAATAACCTTATGGATACAGATGCAACACCTTCCTGTAGATACAGATGTGACACCCTCCTGTGGATACAGATGTGACACCCTCCTGTGGATACAGATGTGACACCCTCCTGTGGATACAGATGTGACAACCTCCTGTGGATACAGATGTGACACCCTCCTGTGGATACAGATGTGACACCCTCCTGTGGATACCAATGCGAAAATGAATAATAAAGATTACTTTACAGATGTAAAAGAGATGATGAATTAAAATGCTGATAAAAAGTCCAAAACCAAATTAAAGATAAGCTACAGTCACCATGTCATTAAGCTACTTCCAAAATAACATTGCTGTAATGGTAGATTTATTGCAAAAATTCAGGACAAAAAAAATGCCATTTTTAAAAAATTAAGCTTTTTAGCATGTCAAAAAATACACAAGTTAATAAGCTTAGTTTTAGCCAAGCAGCCCTGAAAATTTCTCCATATTAAACTTTAATCAAATGTTCCTGTATATGTGTATACAGATATAGACATTCATGTGACATTACATAGGTATAGGCATTGAATAAATATAGATGTTTGTATGGTAATAAAACATGGTCTTTGTCAAAGAATATGCAATTTCTTAAAAAAGCAAAACGAAAATGGTAAAATGGATAGTGTATCTCATGAAAAACTGTGAGAAACTACTCAGAAATAGCATCTAGTAGAAAAACCTTTAAAACTTAAATCAAGGTGATTTAAAATGTAAGTAATAGTGTTTAGCAGAATGAACATTAAAACTTAAATTAACATGATTTAAAATGCAACAGTACATAAATAAGTATCTGCAAGTAAAGAGAGGAAATGAAAATGTTAAGTATGGATAGATATATGGAATGCAGATAATAATAAAATAAAAGGCAGGATTTATTTTTATCAATAATTAACTACAATAAATAATTACCAACACATGTGCCTTCTTTTATTTTCTTTAAAAAATCACTGTTGACAAGCTCATTAAAGTTTTTAGCCAAAAATGCTTTTTCACTTGATCCAGCAATGTCATTCAGTTGTGATTGCCTCACAGCAGAACCAATACCTATTGCAAAAATCACTATCCCTTTGTCTCTTAGAAGTTTGGCTATACTTACAGGATTCTCATCTACAACACCTTTTCCTGCATATTGTTCACCATCTGTCAACAAAAACAAAATTTGAGGAATACTCTTTCTTGCTCCATTTATTTCATCAAACATTTCTAAAGATTTTCGTAAAGCCAAATCAATTCGTGTAACATAACCCATATATGGTATATCATCAACAGCTCTCTCAAACTGTTCTTGATCATAGTACTGATTCAGTTTAATACTTAACTCTGCTATGGAACTAAATGTTACAACACCTGCATGTGCACCATTGTTGCTTATCTTAAATGTCCTTGCAAGACTTTTAAGGAATTCTACTTCTTGGCGATATTGATTTCTTAAACTTCCAGATGAGTCAATTATAAAGCCTACATCTAAAACTCCAGCACAGTCTGAATCTAGACGAAAAAAAAAGCAAATTTTATATTTCAAACTATTTTAAAGTAAAATGATAAGTGACCATAACCAATCATAAAAATAGTGGTGTATATAAAAAAAATTCACTTTCTAAAAAATGTAATTTTTTTAGGCAGTAAAGTTTAAATGATAAATTTTTTTATAAAATGATTATCATTTTTAAAAATTTATGTAATTTTGCTTCATTTGAGAACCATATTGACATCTTTTTAAAAAACTTTTTTTATATATAATATTAAGAAACCAGATAATATTCAAGGGTCTTGGAGGACCCAATAAATATCTTATTCAAATATTTTCCAAGTTTTTTTTTATTATTATTCTGATTCACTAACAACATGACTGCAAGCAATCACTATAAATTTGGAAGTTACTAGAAAACAAAGAATAGAGTTAAAGAGAACTTTAGAGAGTTGTTTTTTGAAAAATAAGAAAAAAATGATTACAATTAGATATAGCAGCTGCACAAAAAAATAAATAGTGATTATGTATTTATACATATGTATATATATATATTTTTTAATATATTATTATATATTATATGTATATATATAACTATATATATACATAAAATATATAATAATATATATACATATATATATATATATATATATATATATATATATATATATATATATATATATATATATATATATAATAAAGTTATAATTAAATATTATATTTAATAATAATAATAATAATAATAATAATAATAATAATAATAATATATATATATATATATATATATATATATATATAATAAAGTTATAGTTAAATAATAATAATATATATATATATATAATAAAGTTATAATTAAATAATATATTAAATAATACTAATAATATTTATATTTATATATATATATATATATATATATATATATATATATATATATATATATATATATATATATATATATATATAATAAAAACTATGATAAATTATACCTTGATCATTTATCTCAAATCGCCTAAAATTTAATCTTTTTGAATGCTTAACTTTTGCTTGCAAGGATACATTCAGCAAAACAATAGCTAGAAAAAAATATATTTATGAGAATAATTATTAGGAAAAAAAAAATTACAATTTTTATGCATCTTTTAACAAATTTAATTTTATTTATTTGTCCCACACCAAAACCTAGTAAATGAGCCAAAATAGGATTAAGCTAAAATTATTAGCGGGTAAAATTATTAAATTATGTAAACTATTATTACCAATTATTACAAAAAACTAAAAAGCTGGTTGATTGTGTCAAAAAGCTTCTAAATTTATTTAGAAGAGAATTTGCTGGGTAAAAAATAGAAATAAATTTACTAAATGGACACCAATAACAAGACAGGTACCCCAAGGTGATTGCTCAGTCGCAACTAATCAAAACTAATTGCAACTAATCAAATCATCCACAAACATCATCAACTGAAACTTATTTGCAGATGACATTGCTTTTATCAGCTCCAGACAACTCATTGCAAGTTATTACTGAAAAACTGATCAAAGCAATCAGTAAAAAATGCCACTCTGACGCGACTCTGAGGAGATATTTGGCATGTCTGGTATAGGGAAAATGCAAGCATCTGTCAGCCTTCTATGGGAACTTCTATAAATATCATATAAATAACTTAAACTGACTTAATTAGAACATACCAGTGCATTATAATTTGGACAATCCAAAGCACAACTAAAGAAACTTTATTAAACATAACAACTAACAATTAAGAAGAAAGAAGAAATCTAATACAAATATTTAAGATTTTTAATGAATATGGAAAAAACTATTGAAAAAAAATGGCAGAAGTACACAAGAAAATAATATATAAAATAAAATAAATATATAAAATATTTTTTGACAATTCAAAGAAAAAAAACCTTTGCTATTTTGCTATATAATCTGTTGTCATCTAAAAAATCAGGCAGAGCTCATTAGAGAGATTATATAATAATTAATTTTAAACAATTTATTATTTATTAAATGGAAACTACTAGAAGATGAGGAAAAAAAAATAATAATAATAATAAAAAAAACAAGAGGCTTATTGGCCTGAGAATATGAGATATTCAAGAGAAATAACAAGATGTAACAAGACGTTCAAGATAAAGATGTACAAAATTTTCTAACAAACAGATCAGTAAACATATGGAACAATCTTAAAAAGGAAGCAGTTCAATCAGAAAACATTGATAAATTATAAGCTGAAATAGATTTAACAATAACCGGTTGGCAATTGGAAGAAGAAATAAGTTGTCATAGTATGCGAGACATACTCACTGGTTTTAGAGTTACAGCAAAAAAAGCTACTACTGCTATACTACTAACAGACAAAGAAACAAAAACAGAAAAAGAAAAAAAAACAAAGGTTTTAATATTCAAATTATTTTAAGTAAAGTCAACTCTTAACATATTCACTTTGTTAGATCATATGTTATGTGTATATACTACTCAAGCATTGGAAGAGGAATTGATAAATAAAGATTACAAAAGAACAAAAAGAAAAATTTTATAACTTGTTAGCTGTTCAACTGTAATTGAGTTTAAATAAAAATAAACAACTAATAAAAATACATTACACTCTTATTTCAAACAAAAGAATTTAATAAACCATTAATATTTATTTCACAGCTTTCTAATAAAAAGAATTTCTAATAGTAAAGATTTTATATAAAATATGAAACTAATCAAAACTTTTCTAATGTATCTTTTCAACCATATAAATAATAATAAAAAAAACTTTTTTCATATCACCATAAAGTTTGTTTTCAGCAATTGTGCTAAATGTGCCAATTATGCTAAATCCAACAACATTAAATATTTTATTGATCTTATATCTGAAAACACAGATTTATATAAAAAATATATATAAGATAAAGATATTATATGCTTATCAAATATTAAAATGACTAAAATAACAAAAAGAATAAACAAAAACTTAACTAGGAGCAGAATTTAAAGTTAATACATATTTGTTACAAAAAAATTTGGGAGCAAGAATTTTATTTTTTATTTTTAGATAGCAACAATGTTAGTCTAAATTTTTTTTTCACTTAATTTTTATTTGACTTTTAGTGAAACTACAAATTGTTGCAAGGTTTGAATAAATATTATTAAGTTGCATTTTAAATTAAAAAATATCTCACCTTAAATTTTTTTTGCAGTGTATTGATTTCTAGTCAGAATTCAGGCCAACTTAAATCCTGTGTAAATTTCAATTAATTAAATAAATTTAATTAATTGATAAACTGCCTGAATTAGTTGATATACTTTAGAAAAAACAAAGTTCTTGGGACTAATATTAGAACTTGTTTAACCTGCAATAAGGGTTTTAAGTTAGTATTATATAAAAAAAAGGCATTGTAATTAATTTAAGACCAATTAACAAAACATTTTAACAAAAACTTCAAAAAATTTGTATGCAAATTAACATTAGCAATTATGCAAACATTTATCTTTAATTTGATTCTTTAGCAGTAAATTAAAAAGTACTATGACTATACTTGAGCTTAAATTGTACAAGTTAAAGTTCCACAAAGATTTTT